AGAAACTTATGGTAATTGGTAAATACCTAAAATTTAATCACCCAGAAACATGGCAATTAATATATTTGAACGACTGACTAGTGTTAACTATTACTATGATGATTGGAGCACGAAAATTATTAATTTATGCTCAGTATTATATTGGTCAGGCTAGGCCAGATTATGCTGCAATAACAGTAAATCTCCAAATCTCAGTGGCTTAAAACAACAAAGGTTTATTTCTTGTGCCCACTATATGTTCATTATAGGTCAGTCAGGGCTCTGTCCCACATTGCTGTGATTCTCACTTTAATTTCTGTTCTGATAGAGCAATGTTTAACAAAGAGAAGAGAGAATGTGGTGAAGCATGCACTGTGTACCAAGTACTGAACCTGGCAGGTTGTTTATAAATACTGTTTTATTTAGTACTCATCAAGGCTCTGTGAGGCCTTAATATTCCCATTTTACAGATAAGGAAACTGAGGCTCAGAGATGTTGCAAAACTTGTGCAATATCACATGGTTTGTCATTTGAATCCATGTCTGATTCCAGAGTCTGTCCCTATTATTCTATATCTTTCTGTCTCTTGAGTTATAGGTAATTAACCTGGGACCTTGAATTTTTGGGTACTGAACTGGCAGGGAATACAAGGTGCATGTGGATTTGGACAATAAAGAAGAAATACCATGTTTCTGGTAGTAACTGCAGGTTCATTTCCCCCTTTATAAAACTACATACAATTAGTCAATCAGCAGTTATATTAAACATTCCCTGCATGTACATTTAATTCTTCCACAAAATATAACTCTTATGAAATACAATACGGGGGAATCATGCTAGTTGTAAAGGAAAACATGTTTCATTCTTCAAAATAATGTTTAATGATAGTGTCATCAATGTGGTTGTAGTTTGGGTACTTTAAATGCTTCTATTTTATGCCTCAAACTAAAATCCCTTAAAGGCAATTGTTTTTTCTTTAGCTCCATGTCCCATGAAACTGACTTGTCAGATGTAGTTCTTCTGCAGCTCTCCGGGTCACAGAGCAAGGGGCGATGGCTCCTGTGTGCTAAGGCTACAGCTGGGAATCATGCTTTGGCAAGAATATGGGTCATTTATATCTTGTAAAGAGAAAAGTATTGTCTTATTCCAACCAGAGAGTTTGTTAGCATAACTGTTTGTGTGCGTTTTAGTATTCAAATACAGATGTTCCAAAATGTTTCCACTGTGGGAAGCAGCTGCTGCTATTCAGGCACAAAAATCTCAAAGAGATTAATATACAAAGGCAGCGTGAACCTTAGTGGCAACTGCAGCATCTGCTTGAGGTGGGGCCTCTGATTCCCCATAGATGTGGGTCTTCAGATTCTCGTTAACAGCCTGAAACCATGTTCCAGATCTAAGCTTATTCTACAAGAACAGGAACAAAGACAAGTGATTAATTTGTAATCACTTAGCTGATAAATATCATCATGGGTTATTTGCTCAGGGGCTGTAAAACACTGGACTTTATTTCCTGTGGCAACTGATAGGAATATAGATGTTTGGTCATAATGACTGATGGTTTCAGTTGCCATTACCAGCTCCTGCTTGGTAACAGAGCTCAGCCCCGCCAGCTTGCAGTCACAGAACATCCATCCACACCGCAGTGAGGCATTCACAGAGAACTTTGCACTTTACTATGGACATTCACATGCACTGCTTCATCTGGTTCCCCTCCTAGCTCTATCATTCTCCACACCATTCACATATAAAGTAAGAAGTGAAGAAGTAAGATGACTTAACAGGGTTAGGAGCCAGGGCCTCTGACTCTAAATCCGGTTCCATTCTTTTAAAAAAAAAATGTTTATTTACTTACTTATTGAATTTATTGGGGTGACATTGGTTAATAAAATTATGTAGGTTTCAGGTTTACAATTCTGTAACACATCATCTGTATATTGTATTGTCTGTTCACCACCCAAGTCGAGTCTCCTTCCATCACCACTTATCCTGGCCTTTACTCGATTCTAGCTGCCCCATCTCCCTTCCCCTCTGGTAATCACCATACTGTGGTAATCACCACATCTGTCTATGTGTTCCATTCTTACATAACAGCACCCTGCCTCTCGAATTTCAGAGGCTGTGATGTGCTTCATAAATTATATCATCCTTTCTAGAGATGTTGGTTTCCAGGACACCACCATGAGGCATCCCAGCTGCCCAGCACTGCCTGGTAACTGGAGGGAGCCAGGGGAGAGCTGATGCAGTAGTCCTCCCTCTGTTCCCCACATCCCAGAGGGGAAATGCCCCAATACGCCCTTTCCTTATGTTCAGAGAGCTTCAGCAAATGAGCTCCTGTGTCTCCCTGGCATTTAGAGAAATGAAGACTCAGAAGCTGAAAATCCCAGGGCTGTCATCTGCAGTTGCCATAAACCAGAAGTTCCTAGGAACAGTGACGCCCGGGGTGTTGTGCCTGCCCCAAGCCTTATAAATCCATCCCCTGCAGTGTTCAAGGGCTCATTGCCTCCAACCAGTTCTACTGTTTGGAATTACCACATGAATTATTTATGGTTTGCACATTTGACAGAGGCTCATGGCTGAGTTTCAAAACACTCAGGTCCTGGCTTGGGCCTAGAAATGTCGTCTAGAAAACTGAAGCTCAGAGAAGTTAAATTTCTAAAGGTCCCCAGAGCCTGTAAAGGGCAATGCCATTTTTTTGTTCTTAAATATATTTTTATTGATTGTAGAGAGGGAGAGGAAGAGAGAGAGAAACGTCAATGATGAAAGATAATCATGGATCAGCTGTCTCCTGCATGCCCCCTACCAGGGATTGAGCCCTCAACCTGGGCATGTGCCGTTGACCAGAATCAAACCCAGGACTCTTTAGTCCACAGGCCATTCTCTATCCACTGAGCCAAACCTGGTAGGGCAAGGGCAGTGCAGTTTTGAACCGTGTGTCTGATTCTAGGTTACCTTAGCTCCAGAGTCACAGATCCACGTGTTTTACTTTGAGGGCAACACAGATTTGTGGGGGAGGGTTTGTGGACTGTGTCCTGCTCCCTAGCCATGCTTGTGTAGAGAAGGACCCAGATAGTGAGGTAGGGAGGGCCAACTAGAGAGGCAGAGGAAACAGGTTGAGTCCCTGGTTTGCAGTTGAGGAGGAAGGGGCGGGATCAGGGAGGGGAGAGGAGTTGTGAGCAGCAGAAGGCCCCGCACGATGCTCTGACATGAAGTAGAAGGCCTGTAGAAGGGACCTGAGACCAGTACAGTTCCTTTATAATTTGCAAGCATTATAAAGATGACCAGTGCCTCTGTTATTTTGATCAAGAACTATTTCACGGGCAAAAAAATAGGGTAGCAATTCACTCATCTATAAACTATTAATAAAAGTGCTCTGAAGTGTACCGACATAGAGTACATCTCAGAAAGGAATACCCTTACTCCAGGTGGCACAGCATCTTTTGCTGTTTTTCCCCAGCCTGGAGGCCCTTGTGAAGACCACTTGCCTACTTGTGACAGGGCATCCTTTGTTCCGCCAGGATCACATGTGCATGTTAGGAAGAGGGAGCAATATGAAGGAAGGGGGCTGAGAAGGGCAGAGAAAGTCCAGAGTAACTCCCCTTTAGAAACTAAAGACAAGAACCTAAGCCCTAGCCAGTTTGGCTCAGTGCCATCATAGAGTGTTGGCCTGTGGACCAAAGGGTCCTGGATTCAATTCTGGTCAAGGGCACGTACCTTGGTTGCAGGCAGCTCCCTGGAGCTGACCCTGGTCCGGGTGAGTGTAGGAGGCAACCAGTCAGTGCACATCGATGTTTCTCTTTGTCTTTCCCTCTCTCTTCCACTCTCTCTAAAAATCAATGGAAGAATATCCTCAGGTAAGATTAAACAAACAAACAAACAAAAAGAATCTAAGACTATATGCACTTGGTAAGATTCTAAAACCTGTTATTATTTTTGTTGTTTCCATTTGGTGCACTCTACTGATAGAGAATTATTTTCATTAAAACTTTTCACAGAAAAAGGGCTCGTGTACTTTTCTTTAGACAAGAAATGCATGAGCAGCAAACACTGTGAGGGGACTAGGAAGATAGCATTTTTCTGCACAAAGGCTGGGGTCAGAAGAGCTCCTAGGCATCGCGATCCCTTTGGCGGTTGAACGACCCTTTCACAGGGGTCGCCTAAGACCATCCTGCATATCAGATATTTACATTACATTTCATAACAGTAGCAACATTACAGTTATGAAGTAACAACGAAAATAATCTTATGGTTGGGTCACAACATGAGGAACTGTATTTAAAGGGCCAGAAGGTTGAGAACCACTGTTCTAGGCAAAAACAAAAGCAAAGCTGGAAGAACCACTGTGGGCCTGAAAAGGGGTGGAGAGGCTCCGTGGAGTCCTCGCCATTCAGAGGTATAGTTTGTAACCCACCCATTGCTTTCCTTTGGGGCTCATCTAAACCTAAGCCCTCCGCAGTAACCAGCACGGATGAAGTCACATTAAAGGAACAAAGATAAGAGAACAGACCCTCCAGTGGGTCTTAAGTCGCAAAATTACCAGTCATTCTAAATATATCCCTTACCATTAAGGTGCCCATTTGCTTTTGGGAGAAGGCTAGATAAATGCCTGGGAGTGCAAAGAGCCAAGCATGGATTTCTCCTACGAATTTCTATGCTATACTGGAACTAATTTTGGTCTTCTTCAACATTTCCTTAGACTACAGAGGTTAATAGCTATTAACATAGCTATAATATCATAATATTAGAAATATCAGTAGTCTTTAAGATGAAGGTTATGTGCAGTACAACCTGCTTCTGTGAGATTAGGAATTGAGAGTTACTGATTAAATTACCGTTGTCTTTTATTAGGAGCTTGCTGTTCGGATGGGCTCTTCTTAGTTCTGCATAGGGCTGTGAGCCACTAATAGAGATCAGGGCTTGGATTGGGTGGCTACAGGCAATCTCTGTGGCATTTTATCTGCTGCAGCAAACCAAAGCCATTTTCCGATGTGCTTTCATTTCTCTGCTTTATGCTTTTTCTCCAGGCAGCTTCATCAGCCCTGAGCAGCCTGGGCCACGTGTACACGGCTATTGGAGACTACCCCAACGCACTGGCCAGTCACAAACAGTGTGTTCTTCTTGCCAAGCAATCCAAAGATGAGCTTTCTGAAGCCCGAGAACTCGGCAACATGGGAGCTGTGTATATTGCCATGGGTGACTTTGAGAATGCTGTGCAGTGTCATGAGCAGCATCTGAAGATAGCCAAGGACCTGGGCAACAAACGAGAAGAGGCCCGGGCCTACAGCAACCTGGGCAGTGCCTATCACTACAGGAGGAACTTTGACAAGGCTATGTCTTACCACAACTATGTGCTGGAGCTGGCCCAGGAGTTGATGGAGAAGGCCATCGAGATGCGGGCCTACGCTGGCCTGGGCCATGCTGCCAGGTGCATGCAGGATTTGGAGAGAGCTAAACAGTACCATGAGCAGCAGCTGGGCATTGCTGAGGACCTCAAGGACCGGGCTGCAGAAGGACGCGCATCCTCTAACCTGGGTAAGGACAGAATGGCTTGCAAGAGCCAGGTCGATTCCATGGGCTGGAAATAGCAGGAGTAGCCCACTATCTTTATGTTTTATTCTAAAGAATCTCTTCAATGTGTGTGTTGTATATTTCCTTCAGTTACATTTCCTTGGAGCCTGTCTGCTCTAAATCACATGATCCTTCCTGTCATCACAGCGCTCTAAGGATTAGAACTCTGAAATACTGGAAGAACAAAGCACCCAACCTTTTAATCTGTCTAGAGAGAAGAATGACCAGATTTATCTAATTAGAGAGAAGGGGAATGAAATGAGGATATAAAGCTATATTTGGTTTAAATGAAAGAGAAGCTGCTAGGAAGCCATCAATGAAAGAGAATTTGAGATGTTTTTGTTCAAAGGGGTTTCTTTACTTGGTGACTTTAACCCCACAGGAAGTGTATTTTTCCTCAATAGTACGTGTATTCACAAATGATATTGATAGTTTAGTATAAATGCAAATTATTTTTTGAAAGATCTTTTGAAATAAGATAGATTTGCAGTCATTATTTTGATAGTACTTGGTTATAGTTAAGATTTATATATTTGGGTGGGTTTATATAGTAAAGAGACACTAAATATTGGTAACTGGCTACTTTTTAGAAGATACTATTATCTTGTCTCTATATCTAGGTATGGGTTCATAATGAATGGAAGGAACAGATGTGTTTGGAAGTATAAACTGAACTCAGCCTTATGCCCGGATTTGTTCTGTGTCCACGGGGACTCAGGAAGGGGAGAGGACAAGGAAAAAGTGACCTTATTGGTATTAGTGTATGCTTATCAGATATTAGTAGCAGCAGAGTGTAAAAATCAGCCTCTTATGTGACCTACAAAACCAAGGCACCTCATCTCTATGTAATTTAAGCACTACTCCTCCCTCCCCCCACTTCTGATTATTGTAACCATATGTTTCGTGAATATGGTTGTTAGAAAAAGTCTGGAAGTCCCCTGGAGATGACTCTGACGATGATATTGAGATCAGAATGAGAATCGAGAGAGTCTGTAAGAACTACAGAAATAAGCTCTTGGCATTATACATTCGTTCAATGGATCAAGTATTATTGAATCAATCATTTATTGAATCGTGTGCTAAATCCTGGAATATAGTAGTTGCCTTAAGGGATAGAGAAGTTTTTAAAAAAAGCTTATAATTTAGTTGGGGAAATAAGACTAATACATAGGACAACAGTGGCCTCCCTGCAAGACTGTGTTAATGTTGCAGGGCCATGCAATTCCTAGAAGGGAGACCCTGAGGGCTTGGACTAACCTAGAAAGCTTCTTGGAGAAGATTAGACCTCAAAGAATAGGTGAGATTTGGCCAGGAATGGGATGACATTGATAGTAAGGATTATGTGGAAGAAGTTATAAGAAAGTAGGTTGGCATATCTGAGGGATGGTGGCATGATTAGACTTCAGAAATGTGCTAGGGTGGTAAAAGATTACTATGAAAACTACACAAGGGATATGCTAGTGAACAGGAATTCCTGATGGTTTGGAAATGTAGGCCTAAGAAGATAGACTAGATATTTAAGGAAGACAAGTCAAGCAGTGGCACATAGGATAAATTGGAGGGCTTAGAACAGGGGTGGGCAAACTTTTTGACTCGAGGGCCACAATGGGTTCTTAAACTGGACCGGAGGGCCCGAACAAAAGCATGGATGGAGTGTTTGTGTGAACTAATATAAATTCAAAGTAAACATCATTACATAAAAGGGTACGGTCTTTTTTTTTTTTTAGTTTTATTCATTTCAAACGGGCCGGATCCGGCCCGCGGGCCGTAGTTTGCCCATGGCTGGCTTAGAACCTTACATGGCTATGCAGCTTGGACTATTTAGATTTTCTTTATCATTTTGTATTAGTTTGAATTAGTTATATTTTCCAAAGACTTTGTTCAGTTCATTTAATTTATTGAAATAAAGTTGTCTATAATATTTCCTTATTTTTCTTTTAATGCTTGTAGGATATATGCCCTCTTTCATTTCTGTTATTGGTAGTTTGTGGGTTGTTGTTTTTTTACACCTGTACCATTTTCTAGATCATTCTAGCTTGATATTTATCAATTTTCTTGATCTTTTTAAAAAACTGTGTTTTTCTTAAATTTTTCATTGCTTGTCTATTTTCCATTTCATTTATTTCCAGTCTCATTTTTATCATTTCCTTCTTGCTACTTTCTTGTTTCTCAAGGTTGAACTTAGGTCATTGATTCTAGATCTTTCTTCTTTCTAATACAAGTGTTTAAAAATATAAAATTTCCTCTAAACACTGCTATAGGTGCATCCAGTAATTTTTGATGTATTAGGTTACCTTCAATAAGTTTAAAATATTTTCTAAAGTCATCTGTGATTTACCTTTAACCCCTGTGTTATTTAGAAGTATTGTTTAAATATTAATATGTTGGAGGTTTATTGTTATCAAATTCTAATTTAATTTCATTGTGGTCAGAGAACATATTTGTAGGATATATATTGTATTTTCTATCTGTAGAATTTACAGTTGGTTCTTTTAATGAAAATTTCCATTTAACTGCTAAGATTTATATGTTTATTACATGTATATTTTTCTTTCCATAGCTGAGCCTAGATATTACAAAAGCTTTTATTTTATTTTATTTTTATGTGTGAATATTGCTTTATTTTGTTCTTTTCAAACCTGTTATAGCAGCAAAGAATAAGCCTTAGATCACAGCCCTCCGTGGTGGCTGCTCCTTGCCCTGCATGATGAAGGGGAGAGAGGCTTTCACCCATTTTCAATTCAGGGTCGGGGAGAGGGAAACAAAACCTTTTAAAACATTGTCTACTAATTCCACATCCGTTCTCTTAGAGTTGGACCATGTTGATTACCTGTTGTTGATGTTGTTGTTTTGTAATAGCTTGGTTGAGATATAATTCACATACTATACAATTTAAAGTAGATAATTCAGTGGTTTTTAGTATATTCACAGAATTGTGTATTGATTGCCTTTTGTACTGAGTATTAGTGACATTTTATTGTTTCTTTTTCCTTGCTCTTAATCCTCACCTGAGGATATTTTTCCCATTGCTTTTTCAGAGAGAGTGGAAAGGAGGGAGCGGGGAGGAGGGATGCAGGAGAGAGAGAGAGAGAGAGAGAGAGAGAGAGAGAGAGAGAAGAGAGAGAGAGAAACCATCAATGTGAAAGAGACACATCCACCAGTTGCCTCCCCAATGCACCCCGAGGGGGGGTGGGGAATGAACCCACATCCCTTTGGTGTGCAGGCCAATGCTCTAATCACTGAGCCATACCAGTTAGGGCTATTGTTTCATTTTATATCCTACTAGAGGCCCAGCGCACAAAATTTGCTTGCAGGTACGGTCCCTAGGCCTGGCCTGCAATCAGGACCATCTTCCCTGGCTGCCCGCAGCTGGCCCGGCCCCTGCCGCTACCCACCCCCAGTTCCCCATTTGCCATTGAGTGATTGGAGCCTGTTGGCTTGGGGAAGGAACCGAGAGGTCGGCCATTCCCGCCCGCTTGCCAGCCCTGTCCCCCTGCCGCCACCCACTCCCAGTTCCCCATTTGCCATTGGGTGGGTGATCAGAACCCGCCAGCTGGGGAAAAGGACCAAGAGGTGGTCAGTTTGCCTCATAGTGACTGGTCGAGCGGTCGTTCTGGTCGTTCCGCTGTTAGTGTCAATTTGCATATTACCCTTTTATTATATAGGATATCCAGTAATATGGAATTATATCCAATCTTGTGAATGATACTTGATAGAGATTCTGGATTCTGATATATTTCTCTTAATAGTATTGATTTTGTTGTTTTCCCAGTTAACGTGACTGAATTCAGGCTCCAAATTCAGTCTTCTCTGTGGTGGGTGGCAGTTGAAATCTCTGTTGGGGTCTTTTACCTTTCTTTAACTGGGCTGCTTAGACTCTGCCTTTCCCATATATATTTCAGGAGTTAGAGATGAGGTAGAATTTATATTCAGAATTTAAGGCCCCCTACTGTGACTCTCTATGGGATTTTTTCCTCTGGTTCTTCAAGCCAGCAAGTCTGTGTTTTTCTACCTGAATGTTAGCTCACCACCTTACATTAATTGGGGCTTGCCTTTTGGGAAAGAAAAGATGCTCTTTGGCATTTCAAAAATGGGAAACTTACCCAATGCCATTCCCTTCTCCAAATGCTCAGCTCCAACCTCTCTATAGTTTCTCACTCTTAAGGTTGTACTTCATTGCCTTTACACAGATTCCTCCCCCAGCCTCCTCCATGCCTGTGACCCTCTTCCCCCCCAGACTTCATAGTTATTATTTATGGGAGGATTAGATTGAAAGGAACTCCTCCTCCATTACGGAACCAGAATTCCTGCTATTCTTTTTTAATCCATTGCAATTTGATTTGCTTCTTTTGTCCCTGAAAACAGATCAACAGTGAACTCCTCATGCTGACTTTTACGATCTTTTGACAATTCTAAATTTTCCTAATCAGTATGCGGCATTGGTGTGATTTACGAACTGTTCCTTGAAATTCTCTCCTCTCCTAGTTTCTGTGAAGCATGCTCTCCTAATTTTCTTCTTGGCTGCTCTTCTTGTGCCTTCTTCATTGGTGTTTTTTGAAAATGGACAATTTAAAGTTACAAAAGTGGTACTTACTTTTGTTAAAAAAAAATTCTTATAATACATAAGTGTAAAAAGTAGAAAAAGGAGATCCACTCCCTTACATTTTTACCTTCCCCTTTCCCACTCCTCAGCGTTGGTTAGAATCTTTTCAGACCTGTTTACTATGTACATAAACACATGGCAGTACAGTCATATATGTAAATATACACATCTATGTATAGGTTGTTCCTGTGTTTTATTTCTTGATTTTTTTCTGTTCTTTATATATCTTCCTTTATCATTTTCAATTACTGCTTCAATGTGCATTGTTTCTAAATTTTTGTTCTCCAGCTCTGACCTCTGAGTATTATTTTTGCATTTCCAACTGCCTAGTGGATACTCCATCTGATTTTCATGCTGATCT